TGTTGTAAGTTTGAGAACTTTGTTTCATTTAAAACGTTTATTCAAACTTTCGTTGCTTATTCATATTCGAATTTACTAACAAATAATTTTGTATTTATAAAGTAACCAAAACTGCTACCGGATAGCACAAACCCACTACTACAAGGTTAAGAGCCTTGCTATCTACAATTGAGCTTGAAGAACAACTTACGCGGAACGGATTCATCGCCACCGTGATGTCTTGTTCTAATAAAAATTAATTACATGTGTCAATTTTTTAAAATGACATTGTATTATTGGAAAAGACGTTATGTAATGGTAAATTCGTTTTATATAATTCATTCTTATGAGGTAAATGCGAGCTTGTTTTTCATGAAACTGGTCGAGATCAAGACAAAAACACAGTTGGTATCGTGAATTAGCTAAAGATAGTATTAGAAAGGACATAAAGATTGTATTTGACACATCTTGGCTTGAAGCTTAAGTTTCTAACCTTTACTTCCAAATGTGTTTCGGATGTAGAAAAAAGTAGATCCATGTTTATACATTCCTACCAAATACAGTGATTGCAACGTTATTGAAAATATTGCTATATAATCACCACCATAATGATAAAGGTTGAAGTTTTACAGCCACAAACCTTGATGAGGATTTTACTTACAAAATTGCTAACCAACAAAACACATAATAATGATGATAACAATGCAGTTTCGTTACCATAAAGCATAATAATGATCAAACGGAAAGGTTCTCAAATCACAATCAGTTTATCTGTGCAGATTCTCACGCGTTACACATCCGTTCACTATTTTAATCTCAATTGTTGCCATTTCTTGGGCGAGATAAGTAACCTTTAGTTAGGTATAAGACAAGACGGTTAGTTGCTGAGTTGTTTAAGTCAGATGAAAAGTGAGTACACAATGTACAATTTTGATGATGGTTAACAAGATACTAAAGAGTTGAAAGTAGCTAAACCACTTGTGTATATATCATCGATGTAATTGCAGCTTGCTGAAAAAATAATTCTCATACGCATAGAAGGTTTTACTCTTGAATAGAGAATGTCGTTACTTATAGTCAGTGCATAAATTTTTGGTAAAATGTCAATAACTAATTATATTTGTTTTTTTTAATTTTTTTTAATTTTTTTTTATCAAAGAGCGATTTTCAAAGAGATATATGTCAAAATCCAAAATCCAAACATCAAATTTCAATTTGAAATAACATATTGAGAAGTTTTGTTGTTTAAGTGATATGTCAAATCTAATTATGATCTAGGGCAATTAGCAAGAATGATCACTTTTTAACATTTGATTACAGAAATGATCAGTTTTTAATAACGACGACATATTGATAATCTAACGACCACACAATAATGACGTGACGACAATTGATTTCTGCAACCAAATCCAAATATCAAAAAATGTTCCTTCATGCTAATTGTCCTATGATCTATTTGTGATTTCACAAGGTGATTTACTATTTACCAGTCGACATATGCCCTCGACTAACTTGAGGGCTTACAACGAACTTAATTTGATGTCAACATGATAATAAATTACTCACCAACTTTACTCATTCATCATGTAATCAATCACTTTAATGTACTACTTAGTTACAAACACACGCTATCAGACTCGGCAAATACGATTTATTTGTACATATTTTCAAAAATCAGTTTTATCTGTAACATTGTAAGTTTGTAGGAAGGAAAAACAAATGAAAACCGCCCATCCAATGCAAGGTCCAATCGAACTTTGTTTCAACAGTGGGATGGGGCCCTATATAACCGTATGACTTGAGTGCGTAGAGAACAAATTCCCCATCTCCAATCGCACCAATTTTTTTTTAACAAAGCAGTTAGTTCCCTCACCTCACCCCCTCTGAGCTTGTTCGCGATAATGTCAGCAGAATAATATTAAGCGAAAGGGGACGCCGGGATTCTGCTTCGCTCTCGCGCACCACGGCCGCTCATCCGTGTCGGTTCCAGATCTGTCACGGTTCGTTCTCAATTTCTCAAATTTTTCATGGATCTGTTGCATTTGCGTAACGCATGATTTGATTTTTATTGTAATTTAAATTTTTTGGATCTGGGTATTCGTTTTTTATTATATTACTGGTTGTTAGATCTGATTGAGTGAGTATTTGAATGGTTATGCTCTGTTAATTAGCGGATCTGATGCGGTTTGAGTGTAGAAATTGAACAATTAACAAGTACTTGATCGATTTTGTTAACCCAAAGGTTTAATTTTGTGTTTTTAGCTTAAACTTATAGTCGTTGTGTTCTTTTGGCTGATATTAATATTCTTTTTGTTTGAATTTGTGTAGATTAATCGGTGAATGCATCTGTAAGACTTAGCTTAGATCCACTGCTCACTCCAACTTGTGGTGAGTGTTGTGTTTTTTTGGGTTCTGATGGCGATATTGAATCCGGGAATGCTCTCAATCAAATGGGCTCTGCTCGTTTTGGTTGTTTTTGTGCACACCTGTAATGGGTTTTATCTCCCCGGAAGCTACATGCATACATATGCGAAGGGGCAAGAAATCACTACAAAAGTTAACTCCTTGACTTCTATAGAGACTGAGCTGCCCTTCAGCTACTACAGTCTCCCTTATTGCAAACCCCCTGAAGGCATCAAGAAAAGTGCTGAGAATCTCGGGGAACTTCTTATGGGAGATGAGATCGAGAACTCTGCATACCGCTTTAACATGAACGTGAATGAGACTCGTTACCTGTGTACCACAGATTCTTTGACCGAGCACGACGTAAAGCTGCTGAAACAGAGAACCCGTGATCTGTATCAGGTAAATATGATCCTTGATAATTTGCCCGCAATGAGATATGCTTATCAAAATGGGGTTAAGATTCAGTGGACTGGGTTTCCTGTTGGGTACACATCACCTAACAGTAAAGAAGATTACATCATCAATCACCTCAAGTTCAGGGTTATGATTCACGAGTATGAAGGGAGTGGTGTGCAGATAATTGGGACTGGGGAAGAAGGCATGGGTGTCATTTCGGAAGCTGATAAGAAGAAGGCATCTGGGTTTGAGATTGTTGGCTTTGAGGTTTACCCTTGTAGCATTAAATACGACCCAGAGGCCATGAAGAAAAAAGCTATGTATGAAAATATCAAACCTGTAAGTTGCCCCGCAGAGCTCGAAAAGGCTCAAATAATAAGGCAGCAAGAGAAAGTATCATTTACTTATGAGGTTGAGTTTGTGAAAAGTGATACAAGATGGCCATCAAGGTGGGATGCTTATCTGAAGATGGAGGGTGCTCGTGTGCACTGGTTCTCTATTCTGAATTCATTAATGGTGATCTTTTTCCTAGCTGGTATAGTTTTTGTCATATTCCTAAGGACGGTGAGGAGGGATTTAACAAGATACGAAGAACTCGACAAAGAATCTCAAGCTCAGATGAATGAGGAGCTCTCTGGGTGGAAGCTTGTTGTGGGAGATGTGTTCAGAGAACCAGATTCTCCAAAGCTTCTTTGCGTGATGGTTGGGGATGGAGTTCAGATTACTGGGATGGCAGTTGTCACTATCATCTTTGCAGCATTTGGTTTCATGTCACCAGCTTCACGAGGAATGCTACTGACAGGAATGATCATTCTATATCTCTTCCTTGGGATTATTGCTGGTTATGTTGCTGTCCGTATGTGGAGAACCATAAAGGGAACTTCTGAAGGGTGGAGATCGGTTTCCTGGTTTGTGGCATGTTTCTTTCCTGGAATCGTCTTTGTGATTCTTACAATACTGAATTTCATTCTATGGGGCAGCAAGAGTACTGGTGCTCTTCCCATTTCTTTGTATTTTATACTCATCTCCCTCTGGTTCTGCATTTCCGTTCCTCTCACCCTTCTCGGAGGATTCTTAGGCGCACGAGCTGAGCCAATTTCATATCCCGTGAGAACCAACCAGATTCCAAGGGAGATTCCTGCGCGCAAATATCCATCATGGCTTCTTGTTCTTGGTGCTGGGACACTTCCGTTTGGAACCCTTTTCATTGAACTCTTCTTCATCCTTTCTAGCATCTGGCTTGGAAGATTTTATTATGTCTTCGGTTTCCTTTTTATAGTGCTTATGTTGTTGGTTATTGTTTGTGCTGAAGTTTCAGTAGTTCTCACATACATGCATCTTTGTGTGGAGGATTGGAGGTGGTGGTGGAAGGCTTTCTTTGCCTCAGGTTCAGTTTCCCTTTACGTGTTCCTGTACTCCATCAATTACCTGGTATTTGACCTGCAGAGTTTGAGCGGGCCTGTGTCGGCTATCCTTTACCTCGGTTATTCATTGATCATGGCAACTGCAATCATGTTGTCAACTGGCACCATTGGCTTTCTCATGTCTTTCTACTTTGTTCATTACCTCTTCTCATCCGTAAAGATCGACTAGAAAAGTGTTGGCTGGCATTGTATTCAAACAGTTGGGAAATGTGAGGCTGCTATATGTAGGAGGAAGAAGTGCTTTTGTTAAATCATTTTAGCCTTTACACTTGGTTGCATCCGAAAGCTGATGGTGTTGCGGTATCTCTTGCGGCTCTCCGATGATAGTGCATGAAGACCTTTGTTTTCTGCGTGCTGTCCTCGTTTGCGACGTCACCAGCGGCAGTTCTCCGTTTACCCCTCATCCCCATTTTGCTTTACTGCTTCACTAGTGTTGCGCTTTTACTTTATATCATATTGTTTGTGTTAGAAATTGTAATTCGTGGACCTTCAATCCTTGTATTCTCTTCTATTTCGTATTTGAAAGGAAAGGTAAATTGGATAATTCTTTTAATTCTCAAAAGCTTGATTTTTTTTGCTGGTAAGTCGATACATAGGATTCAGTTCAGTTAAACTGTTTAACTTTGTTTAAGCTGAAGCTTAGGAGCGTTTGAGAATCATTTATTTTTAGTTTTCAGAAAATTGAAAAAGGAGTACGATTACCTGAACATGTTTCAGTTTTTAGTTTTCTCAAAAACTGAATTGGTTATCTGAACATGTTTCAGTTTTTAGTTTTCTCGAAAACTGAATTGGTTATCAAACAGACGTTTAATTACTCAAAATTCTTACTGTTTTACTGTTCATTGGTAAGTGAAACTTGCCAATTCAGCAAACATAGGCTGGCAAAATTTTACACCAAAAGGCAAAGGGTAAATCTTAACTTATGAAACTCCACAAGGAAACAACACAAGGGTGATTTTGTTCCTTCATCCAGAGTGCCATATCACTCCATATCTGGATCCGGGTTGATCAGGTAAGCTTCTGCAGGGTCATTGTCCAAGCTCTCCTCCGTTTTCTCGTCATCTTCGGCACGAGTATGGAAATCTTCGACAGATGAATTCTCCGAATGCCCGTGAGAGGTCGTGTGGCCTTCAAGACTAGGCTGCATACCCGTTCCCTCTGTCATCTGATATGCAGGGTATAGTTCCAAAGTTCCTACACCTGCAATGCCGTTAAGTATGGCTGCGGCTGTCGCAGCACCAATAAACTGATCAGCAAGCTTCTTACATGCATTCTCCATCGCGAAATTCATGAATCTCCGCTCAGCATCCTGACGGATATGCAATCGCCTCCCAACCTGCAAAGTTGTGTATCATGAATAGAGAAGTAGGTTTACATTTATCAACTTAAAGTTCCCAAATTAGTTTCCGAACTCGAAAACTTGCCTCAACTTGCATACTATCTCTTTCTTCATCTAGAGCTTCCTTCACTAGTTTATAAGAGTGCCTATGCATGGAGCCACAACCCAAAACATAAAACATCACAGCATTTACAAGATAATGCACTTGAAAACGCAACCTTTGTAATGGTAATTTCTGAAGAGGGTAATGATTTTCCGCACTCTCATTTTCTATTTCCGCACTCATCCTCTTGTTTCCACCTTTCGGATTGGATAATCAAAGGAGAATCAAGCGACAGAAATGCATAAGCTAAAATTGAGAGTGCGAAAACAACTACCTTTTGGAATAAGTTAACAAGTACATTCATATAGAAGATTGAGGAGCAGTGCAAATCATACTTTTTCCGGGATAGCTTGGGCGAGGGAGAGGAAGTACTACTGGTGCTTCGGCCTTCTTCCGAGTCCTGTGAAACTGAGTTCTCTTTTATTTAGTGGCAGTGAAAATCTAAATGTAGCAACTCAAACATGAAACTTCTTTCACAACTCGCAAGTTAATTTCATCACTATATCAACTGTTTAGTAAAGGACGTTGTTACTGGTATATTTTTACTGCAGCAAGTTTTTGCAAAAGAACATACAGGTTTGAGTCCCCTCCCTCCATTCCTTCACCCCGTGCCTTCCAAGTCTGTATTTCTGCAAAAATGATTACCACGTCAATAACTTTGAGTGAAATTTGAAAAGTTATATGGTACTATTAGCACTTAACAATAGAACTTCGGTAAATATACGCAAACAAAACTGGTTACAAACTTTTACATACGAGGAACACTAACAAAACTGTTTCAGTGCAAACTGAAGCGTAAGACGAACATGCAATGAGGCCAAGGGCGAAAATGCAATGAGGCCAAGGGCGAAAGTGCAATGAGGCCTTCCTAATTCAGTACCTTAATGTATTATTTTTTTTTAATAAACTAGTGAAAACTTTTCAATCTAATCTGCCACTAAAACACTATAAATTTGAGGCCATATTTGGGAGAAATTTGTGGGTTTTCTTTGTCAATTTACATGTCATATTGTGTTTTTTTTTTCTGCACAAATGATAGCATTTGTTGGTCAAATTGTTAGTTGGTAGGGGAAGGGGATCCGGAGGGGTTGAACTTGCACTAGGGTGCATAGGCATGATTGCTTTCTGCTAGTCTCGTAAAGTGCCATTTGCTTACATATGTCTTAGTTTAATGCTCATCTAATTCTATTTTTTTTATTAAGAGTTTGTAACCGGTTTTGTATGTGAATATTTTTCGAGAATTTTTCCTCAACCATCAATGAATCATGCATTGATGAAACAGACCTGGAGGTGGCTCTTCAAGTGGAAAAGAGTTATCCCCTGGACACCCATTGCCTCCTGGATTTTCTTCGGAGTTGCCTCTGCAAGATGAAACGCGTGATAAAATCAGATAACCGAAATCCGAAAACATGCGAAAAATCTCAAAGCCAAGGAAGAAGGAGAAGGGTACTCACTATGAAGGCCTCCAAGCTGATTGACAGCATCAACAAAGCAGGCATGAAGCTCAGGAGTCCATCGAAGGCGGGGTCTGAGCTTCGCAGCCAGAACTCGGTCTTGAGGCAGCTGAAGATCACACGTTTCGCGATCAACCTCCTCCTCCTCCTCCGCCACTGCTGCCGCCTCCTCACCCTCCACAACAACGCTATCACTGCTATGCGTGACGGTAGGAGTCGGTGAAGATCCTTGAAAATCCTGTTCATCATCACCACCACAGCCAAAACCAACCATTTTTCCCTTCTTCTTTTCAGAAGAGAGAAGGCAAAGCAAAAGCAAATGCAGAAACGCAATAAAACCCAACGGGTATAAAAGGTAGCTCTTCTGTGGTGATGTCTAGCTAGCTAGCACAGAATTGGAGGTTACATGAGGAAGGCACAGAAGAGGCCAAGGCCAGCAGGTTTGTCTTTAATTTCTACTGCATGAAGGGAAACGTGGAAAGCTATGCCATTACTCCAGTCCTTTTTTTCTTTTCTTTTTTTTGCATTTTATTGCCAACGATAATATTATTCTAAGCTATACTGTAAAGAGCGGGAAAGTTTGAACTCAGGATACAGTGAGTTAAAGAGAAAGACCATATTCACCCGTTGCTCCATTACACCAGTTAGTTTCATGTGAATTAATTGTCTTTACCTTCTCCTTCGTTACTACTCCCAAGGATTTAATGCCAGACTGCACTTGTAGTGCTACTAAATGAATATGATCTGACCTTTGGTTTGAAAGGCATGCCTTGCTTTTCCAGTTTTCCAGCTTCCTTTGTTTTGCTCATTTAGTGTTGGTTGGTACTTGGTAGACATATATTTAAGAAGAAAATACCTTACTCTTACATGTAACAAGATGTTTTTCTTTTATCATTATAGGTAAATCACAATCTTGATACGTGTTAAAAAAAAGTTTATTTTCATTTTTAAGTAAGTCACTTCATTTTTTGTTCACATTCACTTCAAAAAAATTTCTCTGCACACTTATTTTCATCCTTAGCGCACCTCTATTTGTTTCTGTCTGTTAATTCTCTTTTGATAGATTCAATCTAGAAGTTAAAACTAAACACGGATGTGCACAATGAGAAAAAGAGTGCGAAAATCACTTCTGCTTTATTATACATGTCAAAAGGAACCAACCATTATTTTAGCTATGTTGCACTTAATTTTTTTTTATTTTTTTTATAACCTAATGCGGCTTGGACGATCCACATCTCAAGGTTGAGCGTTGATGACACGTTGAGCTATCTATGTGGCCGAGAGCCCTCATAGGTCAATAACAACAAGACAATTATTTGAGAGACACTTAGCAATAAGATAATAGCCTTTCAGAGACGTCGACTGCGCCAAATGCGTGAGCAATTCATTGCTCTCTTTTTACGTAACGGCACAATTATCTGAAGGACTCTTGACCAATAAGCTAATAGTTTGTCGGAAGGGCCCGCTATGGAAAATGCAGAAGCAACTTATTACTATCTTTCCTTTTTAACGTAATGATACAATTATCTGAAGTCCGCTATGAATGCTGAAGAAACTCCATTGTTGTCTTTCATTTATGCCCGAGAGGGATCTTATTCATTATAAAAATAATTTACATCACCCACTGGCTATTAGTCTAGTAGTACCTTTCCTTCGAAGGTCCAAGTCCCTTCGCACATTGATCCAAACAATAAGAAGATTTTACACCACTTTCTTAGAGAGGAAGTAACTATGGCGGTACATAAAGAACAAGATAATGAAGGAAGAACACTTAGCCAAAAGTAGGGGTGGGTTCAAAAAACCGAAAACCGAAAACCGAAAACCAAACCTAACCGAAACCGAAAAAACCGAACCGAACGAAAAAACCGAACCGAACGAAAAAACCGAACCGAATTGAAAAAACCGAACCGAACCGAATTCTTTTGGTTTGGTTCGGTTTTAGTGATTTAGAAACCGAATCAAACCGAACCGAACCGAATTAATTAAATTAATTTTTTTATTTAATTATTTGTTTTGGGTATTATTTTCTAAACCCAATTTGTAAGTTAAAATGTGCTAACCCAATGTGTTGCCAAACTTTAAGCTCAAAATATTAAAAAAATGCCTATAAAAACTCTAAACCCTAACCTATTATTTCTCCCCCATATAAGGTTCCGGAACCAAACCTCTTCCCGAAGTACCTACATCCATCTCCATAGCAGTGTCTACTTCTGCGCCAGCTTTCTTTTCCAAATCTACTCTCATATAACATGTAACATAATCCATAAACATTTATTTCGGGTAGATTACTTGGGTAATTTGTGATGGAAAAGAATCCAACACACACTAAATAAATCCACCCACGCATTACCTTTACTAATCAAGTTGTCAACATGCAGTTACAAGCAAACAACTGATCTTTGAACAACATCATACAATTTTACTTTTTTAAGTCATTTGTACGATTTTTGTGTGATTTTGTGTTGTGAGGTTGTTAGTTTGGACTTTGAAAGACTTGATTGATGATTTTAGTTCAACTTTAAATGTTTATTTTCATTGTCTTTGATTCTAGTTAGAATGTTTATGTTATGATTGTGTTGGATATGTTAAAATTTAAAATTTCAATGTTTTTCATTTTTTGAAAAAAAACAAAAAAAAAAACCGAAACCGAACCGGAAAAAAACTGAACCGAAAAAAAACCGAACCGAAAAAAACCGAAAAAAAATTGAACCGAACTGAACCGAACCGAAATTTCAATTTGGTTTCGGTTTTGGCAAAAAACCGAACCGATTTAAACCGAACCCACCCCTAGCCAAAAGGGTGAGCAACACGGTTGGAAGATCTCTTGTGGAAACATGCAAAGGGTTCAAAGCTCTTCCAGTTGCCATATAGTTTGATTCGGAGTCATTTTGTTGTTGTGTATAACGGTACATCTAAAATCATAAATGTAGTGACTTACAACAACACTTACTATTTGTACTTTACTCTTATTTCCTTTTCTCTGAAATTCAAGTCTTACAGTTCTACTCTCTTAAGGTCCTCAAGATAAAAACCCGTGAAGACCAAATGCATATTAACTACAAAATTCTGGAAGTTTAGGTCTAAAGGCTTAAAATATTTGACAACTTAATAAACCAAAACTAACTCAAAATCCATGAACCAATAGAAAACTCATGTTTTGCTTTATTAAATTGTCAAATATTTTAAGTTTTTTGGATCTAAACTAATATAGTTTTGTGACTAATATGCATTTGATCCTCACATGTCCTTAAAATGAAGACCTTAGGAGACCAAAGGTCGTACCCAGTGCACAAGACTCCCGCTTTACGCAGGGTCTGGGAGAGGTGAATGTCGGCTAGCCTTACCCCCATTTATGGAGAGGCTGCTCCCAAGTCTCGAACCCGAGACCTACCGCTCATGGGCGAAGGAACCCGAGACCTTAGGAGACCAACCGAATAATTTAATTTAAACAAAATCTTACGATTTGTTTTATTTTTATTCAAGTCATACTTATCTTAGGTTCGATTCCTGGCGCTAATGAATCACACAATGGTGGCCAAAAGAAGGCTGAAATACCTTTGTGAGTCTTCTCAGCCCTGAAAAGATGGACTGCTGTGACGAAGCCATTAGCTGATTTCTTTTGTAAAAAAGGCTATTTTAGGCAACTTGATTATGCTTAAGTACGAACCTGCATGAGATATAATTTATCAACACTATTAAAGAACTCAATTTCATGGTATATATGAGGTATGTTAGTTATACTAGTTTATTTCTCTTTTCTAAATTTTGTTTACATAAGCTTATTAGTATTTAAAAAAAAAAAGGATAACTAGTGGGAAATCACAATTATCCATCTTTTTTAAGGGTCGGAAAGATCTATAAAGACATTTAAGTTTTCTTTTGACCACAAATCTATCTTTCACACCAACAACAGGTTTCGAAAGCTTATAAGTTAGATCGGGACCAAAGGAGAGTTAGAAAATAGGACATGCAAAAGCCCCCTTCTTAAATTGTTATTTTTTCGAAAAAGAAGAGAAAGGTGCCTTTTACCGTTTTGCGTAAAAAAAACAAATAATAAAAAGTCTAACTAGCCGTTGCAAGCCGAAACCCACCGACCTATGCTCTCTCTATCTCCCTCTTCTCTTCTCTTCTCTTTCTTCTTCCATCCTCTCTCTGCTCCCCACAACTCTCTCTCTCTCTCTCTCTCTCTCTCTCTCTCTCTCTAACCCATAACCCAGCACAATGTTCACCGAAGGCCTCGACGAGAGTGCAATCAAATGGATCAAACAGGTACCAAAATCCCGAAAGTTCATAAATTTTCAAAATTTTTGAGAATTCAACTTTCATTTTTCAGTTGAATACCTGCAGGAATCAGAAATGGAAGTGCAAGAACAACAGCAACAAACCCCACAAGCGATCCGGTCGCCTCTCGCAGAGAAACTCACTTCCGACGCATACCCAATATCGCCTCTGCGCTTCGGCACCAACAGCGGTGGCGGTGGTCCCGCTCTGCCTCCGCTCAAGTTCCACTCCGGCCTGCTCGCTCCTCACAGCTTGGTGGCTCCGTGTCTAAGCAGCGACGACGAAAACGACTATGATGACGACAACGAGAGCGTCGATTCGGTTTCGGATATGGGTTCGTCTGCCATTTACTTCGAGGAAGAGTCGAAGCCGATGGAACAGTATTATCAGGAAGAAGAAGAGGAGGTGTTTGGTTATAGGGATAAGCCTAGCACCGGGTTGAATAGAGGTTTGTTGAAGGAGGGTCTGAGGGTTGAATTGCCCGGAAATTGTAGAAGATTTACGGACGGTGAGGTGGGTTTCAAGAAGAGATGCCCCCCGAAAACTTTGACACCGGGTGCCGGCAATCAGCTCCTGAAAAGGGCTCAACTTCGAAATTTCAATGTAGGCCTTGATGCAAAATAATGATCTTTTTTGTTTTTGTGTAGTGGGTGTGTGCTTGTTTGTAATTTGAATCTTTTGTTGGTGGTATTTCCAATTTTGTATTGTAGGGCACTGCCCAAAGTGGTGATGAATGTGGTGTGCACAGAGATTCAGCAGATTTGGGAACTCCTAGTGCACCTCCGATTTTCGAAATTGGGAGAGACGAGGCGGGTATTGATGATGAGATTCAAGGAGGGCAGGAAATTTCTGAGGGGGTGAGAGAGAGCAATGCAGCTGAAAATTCGACCTGCCCATCAAGGGGATCCATGGGGTTTGATGGGAGTGTAGAGGGTTTAGCAGATTTGGATACTAGTTCTTTCAAAGCTTCTGAACTTGGTGAAAGGTATTGAATAGAGTTGCTCTTCTTGTTTTAGGATTTTATTTGGACTGTGACTTTCATTTGATTTCTCTACGTTCTCGTTTCGGGTTTTTGATAGTTCTTGCATGATTTGACTTTGTGTTCTGCAGAATGAACAAAAGCATAGCTGGAGAAACAGAAGCGAAAGTCCCTTATTTGCAAGCCAGCCAATTAGACCATTCCTATTATAATACCAGGTTCTTCCACCATTGAATTTCATATGAAGACAGATACTTGTTTACTGTTACTTTCGATTTAGTGAAGTTTATTGCATGAAAAGATTCTGCACACATATTACTTTTGTCATTCTAACCTGAAAAATGTTTTTTGATTGTTTTTTT